TATAAAAGCCTGGCAAGGAACAGCACCAGACCAGTGATTCTCAAATTATCCTTCAGAAAGCAAGATATTTCTTCAGGTTCCATGTTAACACCTGAGTACCTAAGCAGTCCCAGCTTCAAAGAGTAGACACCAAGGCCCAGGCAGGGCTTTGTAGGATGTCCATTCTGCCACAACGCTGGGACAGGTGACTACTAATGGCATGAGCCAGCAATTTCAGCCTCTTGTTTAGCCTTATGTGACATTATTTCCCCCTCCTAATGTACTAAGTTTCAGGATGGAAAAAATCCATTCTATAACCTAACCTGCAATTTTCTGGTGCTCCATTAGCATTGCTGTTGAAAGACACTTTCATATCTCAAATGGCTGTCCTGTCTAGAGACACGTTGAAACAAAACCTTTAGATTTTCTGAAAAGTCTAAAAAGAATTCCTACTCAGCTGATATAATGAGGAATCTGGTATCTTTAAAGTCCTATCAAAGGCTACAATTGGCACAGATGTAAAGAAAAAATATTTAAAAAATCCTTTACTCTTAATCATCATTGTTTTCTTTCCTGGCAAACAGGAGATACTCTATAAAGCCATGTATGCAAATAAGCATATTCACGCATATCTCACATTTTGAATAGTATCGGAAATTCTAAAGTAGTTGTTATAAATTCATCATGAGCACTGAAGTAATTACCAAGGTCCTACCATCCGTACCTGGATAAATGGGTAAATATCTAGGATGACAAGAGTGACGATGACAACAGTGATACAGAGCTTGAAAGCTTTTTTTAAAAAAAATCACTTCATAAAATAAAACCTGTGTAAAAGTTCAACATACAAAATGGACAAACCTGTGCAAATCTGATAAGGAATTAATATCCAGAATATATAAAGAACCTCTAAAACTCAACAACAAAACAATGCAATTTTTTTTAAAAAACTAGCAAAGGACTTAAATCTCTCCAAAGATACACAAATGGCCAATAAATGCATGAGAAAGATGTTCCACATCACTAATCATTAGAGAAATGGAAATCAAAACCACAATGAGATACTACTTCTTACCCATTAGGATGGATATAATAAAAAACCACAGAAAACAGCAGTGTTGGTAAGGATGTGGAAGAATTGGAACCCCTATGCACTGCTGGTGGGAATAAAAAATACTGCAGCCCCTTGGGAAACAGTACGGTAGTTTCTAAAAAAATTAAACAGCCCTAGCTGCTTTGGCTCAGTGGTTAGAGGGTTGGCCCTTAGTCTGAAGGGTCCCAGGTTCAATTCTGGCTCCAGTTGGGGCACGTGCAGGAGGCAACCAATTGATGTGTCTCTCTCACATCAATGTTTCTCTTTCTCTCTCTCTCCCCCCAACACCTTTTCCACTCTCTCTGAAAAGCAACGGGAAAAAAATATCCTCAAGTGAGGATTAAAAAAAAAAATTAAACAATTACCATATGACCCAGCAATTCCAGTTCTATGTATTTATCCGAAAGAATTGAAAGTAGGAACTGAAGCAGATATTTGTACCCCTATGTTCATAGCAGCACTATTCACAACAGCCAAAAGGTCAAAACAATCCACACATCCATTGGCAGATGAATGGATAAACAGGATGAATATATGCTTACAATGGCATATTATTCAGACTTAAAAATGAAGGAAATTCCAATGCATACGTAGATAAACCTTGAAAATAGTATGCTAAGAGAAGAATAGCCAGACACAAAAGAACAAACATAATTCCACTCATAGGAGATACCTAGAGCAGTCGAACCCAGGAAGGCAAAAAGGAGAACAGTGGTTACTGGGGGCCAGGAGAACTGGGGGAGGTGGGGAGTTATGTTTAATGGGAACAGAGTTTCAGTTGGGCAGACGAAAAAGTTCTGGAGACGGATGGAAGTGACGGTTGCACAACAATGTGAATGTACTTAATACCACTAAATTGTACACTTTAAAATGGCTAAAATGGTAAGTTTTAGGGTATATACATTTTACCACAATTTTTTAAAAAGGACATACCTGTAGTGGCCCCAGTCAGAGTAGAGGCAGGGCCTGGGGCACACCCTGAGCCCCTGCCAAGCTCCCCACCAAGGCCCCCTCCTCAGAATGGCCCTGCTGGTTGCCCACCTGACAGCCCCAACCCCTCTGCTGCTCCTATGTTAACAGAAAAGGTTTTGTCCAGGAATCTCATGGCCACAAGTCTTGGGGGAGTCTGGGGTCTTCCCCAATGCCACCGGTGAATCTTGATTAATGTAGATCACTGGACCTCAAATGTTTTTTTCTCAGGACCCCTTTACACTCTTAAACATTACTGAGGTCATTACTGAATGCTTTTGTTTATGTGGGTTATATTTATCAATATTTACATTAGAATTTAAAAATAAGAAAAATTTAAAACCCAAGAATATGCATACACACTCTTCTGATAGAGCACAGGATTCAGTGCAGACATGGCCAAGTTCAAGAACCAAACCATGCACAACCAGAAATGCACAGAAATGACATCAGGAAACTCCAATCACAAAGATATGAATCTCTTTAGAGCATGGACCCCAAGTTCCTGAGAAACATGCACTTTGCCAAGAAGCACAAGAAGGGCCTGAAGGAGATGCAGGCCAACGCCAAGGCCATAAGTGCATGTGCCAAGGCTATCAGGGCTCTCATAAAGCCTGAAGAGGTCAAGCCCAAGATCCCAAAGGGTGACAGCTGCAACCTCAAAAGATTTGCCTACATAGCTCACCCCAAGCTTGGGAAATATGCTCGTGCCTGCATCACCAAGGATCTCAGGTTCTGCTGGCCGAAGTCCAAGGCCAAGGCTCAAACCAAGACTTGGGTGTCTGCAGCTCAGGATCCATCTCCCAAAGGTGCCCAGGCCACAGTGAAGTCTCCAGAACAGATACCTCTGTCTGGCAATGTGAGGAGGAAAGGACTAATGTGACCCCTGGGCTGCTTGCTACATGGGGCTGGTGTCCTCCTGCACTATTTGTACAAATAAACCTGAGGAGGGATGTATAAAAAACAAAAGCAAAAAAACTCCACAGACACACACATTTCATTAGCTGCCAAATCGATTACATCATCATACATCATGCAGCCTCTTGACAACTCTAATGTACACTAGAGAGAGAATGAGAGTAGGAAACGCAAATAATACCTTTAGGATTATTATGAAAATATTGGTGCTCTTGAGGACCTCCTGAAAGGGTCTTAGGAAGACCCAAGGGTCCCTGAACCACATTTTGAGAATGGCTATTGTAGAACAGCCATAGTATTCCCATTTGCCCTCCTACCAACATAGGTATGAGCAATATTATGCAACTCTGGAAAATGAGAACTGAGCTTTAGCTGGAGGGTTTCTAAGATAGTCTTTCTCAACCTTAAATAAAGACATGTTTTTCCATATTAGACACTGTAGTCTTCATGTGACACTTAGAATCGCAGTAGTCACCTTGGGACCCAGGAGTAAGTAAGCCTCAGAGGACTGGTCAACCTGCTGCAAGTAGCAAAGAAGAAAGATGAACCTGGGTCCTCTCAACTAGCATAGCTGAGGCAATGAAGTGGCCAACCTTGGAATTTTTCTCTGTGCTTATGCTACCTTTCATTGGGTTTTCTGTTACTTGTAGTCAAAAGGTGTTCTAGCTGGTACATCTGAGAACCTAGTTTGCTGAACACAGTCTGAAAACCACTCCTACGCACACAGTACCCGGCACATAGTAGGAAGTCAATAAGTATTTGTTAAATAAGTATGTGAATAAATAAATAAGTATACAAACAAAGCCTCAGTGGATTAGGTAGATAAAATAGATAACATTCTGACCAACTTTGTGTTGACAGACCCCATGTAGTTCCAGACTGTCAACATTTCAAAGACCATTACGAATCTCACGCTATCAAAAACAGCTGTGTACAGCTGTTAAGGGATCCAGGAGAGTTCAAAATTGCTTTCCTTTGGTCTGGACCTTCTAAAAGCCAGAGGTACGAGAGGTAAGTCTATACATACCAAATATAGACCTCAGCCTGCGCAAAGTGGCAATCTGATAAAGAGCACTCTTTTTCTCTATTTCCCCTGAGCATGAGTCAACTGAAGTAGCCTCTCCCATGAAATAAGCACCAAACAGAGATTTGTGAGCAGAATGCTACAAAACACGCTGTTTATGGAGGAAGGAAAAAAGACAAATCAAATATCTGGCCTTCAATTAATGTCACCAACTAGGGGCACAATGGCCTTGTCAGAAAAAGATTTAAAATCTCTAGAAGCATAATCAAATATAAAATTAAGAAGTTTATGTTCAGCTATGCTTAAGCTCAACAACTTCTTCCTCTTCCTACTGAAAGCCTGATGCCAGCATTTTTAACTTACTCTAAAGTAATGTTTCTTTGCTTCATTATTTTAAGTAAGACTGGTCGATCTGTCCCTATTTTCATGGCTTTTTAAAAAAGTCACAATAAAATGTTCTTGTTCCCATAAAGTGCTTATGAAAGAAACAAATGATATTTTCTCCCTAAAACAATGAAGTTTTAAGAAAATTTCCACTAGGAGGAGCTGGCTTTTTCTCTGTTGAGTCAGCAGTGTTTCACCTCTGAGATACTCTAATCAAAAACACAGACCTGAAATTTGCAGATAATTTCAAACAAACCTCAATCATAAACAAAATCTGGGTCTGAGGAATCAGCGGAGGCAACTGCAAACCAGGTGCAGAGCGTACACACTCTTCAGATGGCTTTGTAAAGAATTAAGGAAATTTAATCTATCTGGAGATTTACTGAACTCCCTTCTTCCACCCATGTCCCCAGCCATGTGGGGACAAGAGCTGCTCTCTGGACCTGGCTTCCAAGTCGCATCCTTCAGGACAGTGCTGCCTTCAGGCTGCTACGCTAGAAACCCCTGACCTTGCCCCCCTCAGAGCACCACAGAGCTGTCACTAGGACTCCAGCAACACTAGCCTCCCCGCCACATTCCCTTAGAAACAGTGGTTACTCACTCTCCTTGCATTCTTGTCCTCACTGTACTTACCTGAGAGTAAGACTGTGAACTTCTAGGGAGACCAGTTAGAAAAATGAGCTGAGGGGCACATTAGATATTAAAATACTAGAAATCTTCTTGCTTCTGTCACTGGTGACTTGGCTCCAAGTTATTTCTGCTTCTTCCACCCTTGGTTTGTTCCACTCGTAATTTATCACTAAACAAACAAAAATAAACAAAAATCCCACACATTAATTGGGAACTGACTTTATGACAGGGACTCTGAAAAACATTGCAAATAAAAAGATGTCAGCATTCCCTGCTCTAACACAACCTGTGGCTAATGAGGAAATCAGGGTCTGTAAACAGGTAAAACATAATCCCCTGTGGGAAGGGCTGGGAGAGAAGGAATCATGGGGAGCTGCAAGGAGCATTAAGGCGGGCACCTCACCCAGCACAGAGGTGTCAGACACTTCCAGAGAGAAACGGCTCCTGAGCTAAGCAAAATCACAACATATGAGCAGGAGTGAACCAGGCAAAAACATCAAAACCAAACACAGAATGCTACTACACTTCATAGGAAGAGTTAAGTTACCTGTGATTCATGTCTCTCAAACCTGATGAAAAAGACTCTTGAACAGCAGACAAATAGCTCTGGCGGGCGGAGGGTGTTGGGGGGGTGTGGAGGGATTGAGCAAAAAAGAAAAAAAAAAGAGAGAACTCACGGACATGGACAACAGTGGAAATACGGGGGGAGGGAGGAAGAGGGCACTGAGGGGATAAATGGTGATGGAAAAAATGAAATAAAATAAAATAAAACAAAAAGACTTTAGAGCTCCTAGGGTTGTCTAAAATCATTATTCTATTAAATATAAAACTAGAAAAATATGTATTGTACTTATAACTTCTACAACTACAGATATTTTTAAATGCACAAATACCAACGAATCTATAAAATCAATAAAATTTCAATTGACAACATGAATTCAATGTGATGGATGATGTAGGTTACTGCACCTTATGAGTCAGGTGAAGTTGGTGCTGGCAGCTACTGGCAGTTTCTGCTAGTTGGCTGGTGATGGCTGAATTCGCACAACACTCTCCTCTTTCTGAGCTACCGTGAAACAGCACTCTCTCATTCGGCACAAGCACATTATTTAGATTTTACCTCTGTTCATTTTTCAATATCTAAAAGTAGTGCTACTTGGCACCAATACAAACACAACTGCAGGCACTGACATCTTAAGACACTATTTAGTTAAAATTTAGGTGTTTGGAAACAATTGAATTTCTTAAATTTCCACCAAAATGAAAAATAAAAGGTAAAATACTTGTAGAGAACCATGACATCCTAATAAATCCCACCTGCTTAATCCCACTCATCTTTTTGGGGCTGCCAGCCTCTAAAGGAGGAGTTTAAATAACTGTAAGTTATGGGTCACTGAACTCACACAGAAAAGCATTTTTGTGGTTAGCTTTTAGTACTATGTAAAACCAGATATCTCACTTTATTTCCTTTAAATCCTCAGCCCACATGACTTCCAGATAGGATGGCAGAGTAAATTCACTCTCTGATAGGTCCTCTCCACTCCAAATACACAGTACCGCGAGAGGAAACACGAGAAACTAAAAGGATGCAGGCAAACTTAAAAATAATATAAACATCTCTGTGAAACAGATATGGTGCGGAAACAAAGAGGTAAGTCCTTGAAGTTAAAGCCTTGATCCTCTTAAGCTCGGGATCCAAAAATAGGCATCAAAACTGGAAGTATGAGTCCTGCAGGGTTTTGAGGCTAAACACAACCCACAAAGGAGAGTGTGTCCTAGCATCACTGCTTGAAGGCAGGGTCAAAGATGATCATTGGAGGAGGGCTCCCCATTCCTGGTTTCATATGGGGCTGTGGCCCAGGTTGGAGAGTAGGACACAGGCCATTCAGCAACCAAGAACTCAACAAAGCAGCCCATGATTGCCCCAGTAACTAAACCACCACTGCAGTTCTAGACTCAGGCTCCATGGAAGCCAAAGAGACAACTATAAAATTGCTAAACAAAGGAAAGTAAGCAGAGAGGGAGAAAGAGTGGCGGAAAAAAAATGAATAAATGAAAATAATTTTAAAAACATCTTATTCAAGACCAAAGTTCTAAAGTATGTAAAGAAATCTAATTCCAATATAGGCAACTAACAAAATCAACCATCAGATCACAAACTTACTTCAGATGAAATAATATTAAAAAACAGTCCAACAAAATAAGTATATTTAGATTACTTTAAAAGAATAAGAAATTAGAAAACAAAAAGGCGAAATTAAAACAAAAAGAGATGTTTAAAAAAAAAGAATCAATTGGAAATTATGTAAATAAAGAATAGTCATTAAAATTAAAAGCTCAGTACAGAACTGAATAATGTAAATCTGAAGCTGAGGAGTTCACTCATAGATTGTAACTCAGCAGAAAAAGAAGAAAAATATGAAGAGTAGCTAAGAAACATAAAGGACAGCTCCACAAACATCTAGAAGGCATCAGAGCAAAAGAAAGGGAGGGGAATGGAAAAGGAGCAGTATCTAAAGAGATTAAGCTAAGAATATTTAAAGAAATAAGCTAAGAATGTTCAAGAAATACATGAGTTTCACATTAAAAGTACATTCTAAATACTGAGAAAGATAAATAAATAAGCAGATAATTAAATAAATCTGTTTTTGCCCGGCTGGGTGTGGCTCAGAGGTTGAGCGTCAACCTAGGATCCAGGTGATCAGGGTTCGATTACTGGTCAGGGCACATGCCCAAGTTGCGGGCTCCGTCCCCCAGTTGGGGGCACACAGGAGGCGGCTGATCGGTGACTCTCTCATCAATGATGTTTCCATCTCTCTCTCCCTCTCCTTTCCTCTCTCTGAAATCAATAAAGATATATTTTATAAAAAAATAAAAATAATAATAATAAATCTATTTTTAAAGCCACACAAACTAAAATTAATAATTATAAAAAAAATCTCACAAGCTACCAGAGAGCACCTGGACACGCACTGGATGTGTGGGTCACAAAGCCCTAGAGGAGGTGAGCTCTGGTGCAGCAGCCTGGCCAGCTGAGCCCACTGAGACCTGGCCACCTGCGGGGTCAGCAGGCAACCAGCAGCTCAGATCCTCACCCCCAGGCTGATACAGAAGCTCCATCCGCATTTTGTGTCTTCCTTAACAGCTGGTGGATATAAGGTAAAGCAACTGTCTTTCACATTAGAGACAACCTCAAGAAACCTCCTGAAAAAGCAGACCCTAAGTGTTTCAGGCAACTTCTGGCAACAAGAGATTTGTCCTCCCTGGAATAGATACTCAGGTCTGGGTTTAAATTTCTCTTCCTTTACCTCCAGGCTTCTACCAGCAGCACCAAATGTGAACTTTACTGGATGCCTCTGCTCACCTCAACCAACTTCAGACCAAGAAACTCATTATGTAGTAAAAGAAGTGAGGAAAGGGGCTTATGCCAACAGGGTTCCCAGTCAGCTACAATTATTACTAGCTGCTATTTACACTCAATTTTTCATCTATATTCCTTTATCACTTACAATTTCTCTACCACATGTTATTTCATTCTATTACAACTTCTCTAAAGCTAAAGGAAAAGAAAACATAAACAGGAATGAGCCCTGGCCGGTGTCGCTCAGTTGGCTGGGCATCATCCCATGCACCAAGAGGTCACCAGTTCGATTCCTGGTCAGGGCACATGCCTGGGTTAGGTGCTTGATCCCCAGTAGGGGGCGTGCAGGAGGCAGCTAATCCATGTTTCTCATTGATGTTTCTCTCTTTCTCTCTCTCAAAAATCAATAAAAACATTAAAAAAGTAAACTACTTAAAAAAGGAAACAAGAATCATAGCCTGAGTTACCTGGAAAGAAACTTGATTTAGAAGATCACGGATGATTTCCAATAGAAAAAAAAATGGTCTCAGGAAACTGGTAACACACAACACACATAATTGTTCAGATAAAAACTAAAGCTACAATTTTTTTTAAAAGTTTAGTAAACTTCTCATTTAGGTTCCCTTGGAAAGCAGACAGAGCTCAGGCAAGCTAGAAAAGGTAAAGACCAGAATTCACATTTCCAGACAGAAAAATCTCTCACCAAAACCACTCAGATGATGCTATCCAAATTGTGAACCTTGCAGTCACCCAAGGGGATCAATAGGGAAATAGGCCCTAGTTTCAAAACCTTTCTAAAACTGTTATGTTATGGCACAAGAGCACCACCTACTGTAATAGTTCCAAGGGACAATTTAGTCCATTTATTGAAAAACGGCTATATACCCACTTCTACCAACTGTTTACCTTGCTTCAGAAGAACGACTGTGGAGGGATGGACTTCAAATCATTTCAACCTAATTGGCTATCTCTTTCTCTTTTAAAAGTAGGGCCTTTGCCAAGACATCCTGAAAAAGAAACAACAGTCCTTTTCCTTACTTCCCCCATTTTTGCTTTAATAACCACAGTAAAACAAATCTTGCTACTGCTAGTGACCCCTTTCCCTCCTGCGCAGCTCTGGCTATCTTACTGCACACTGCTTTACCTAGAGCTCTACCCTCCCTGTTCCTAGGGGCGGAGAAAAACCCAAGGGGAGAAGCTGCAGTAGCTCTACCGGATCTGGGAAGGGTATGTGTAACGTAAATTTTAAACCCTACAGTGCACAGTTTGAAGACTGGGGAATAGTACTTTTGAAACTCATTTCAAGATGAATACAATAGTTCCCCTCCCCCTGAGGAGCTTACAGTAAACAGAGAGGTTCTAGCAATGAACTACTAGCAAAATAGAATAAAGAAGAAAATAACATGAGGAAAGACAATTTATGGGATATTATCAGTTAACATCAGGGCAGAGCTGTTTCAGCTATGCTGTATACACACAGAATACAACTAAGGCCATGGCAAAAATAGGGTTCTTTCGGGAGCCCCCTTCAAGGCTTTCGTGAAGCTTCTAGGCATTGTCAATTACAAAAACCTGATAGACTCACCTGAATAACCCACATAAATTCTAGCCCGTGTGTCATTTAGCTTTGTTATATTTTATTGGTCTGGTGGGGACACTCTTATTTATGAGCCATTGCATGTGCAACCTCTACTCTGTGTTAGCAGTGATAAAAAAGCAGCAGCTCATATTTATTTCCAGTCATGCTGCTAGTACTAGTCAGGGTTTCCATTACAGCCAGAGCACTCACATGAAAATAGGGAAGAGATTCTCCACACGGTACATTCAGGGAAGAAATAACGTGTATCCCCAAAATATCAGTCATCTGATGCCTGTAAAAATACAAATTTGTTAACTTGGAAATCATAAAAACTTCAAAACAATAAATGTATCAGTATTCTGTTTCAATTACTTCACAGGAAAAGAAAAATGATACTTTAGAAAAATTCCAATCACAGTTCTCTAGTGTATAAGCCACTAGCAAAATGTGCAGTCTGTAGAACAGTGTGTTTGCTAATGCCCCAGGGCAAGGGGAACTAGGGCAGTGTCACAGCGAGTGTGAGTAGGACTGAATGTGAAAACCTCAGGGGAGAGGCTTGTTGAAAACGAATGAGGTTATACAGAGGCAAATTCTAAGTTAAAGAGCAACTGACTAATTGACTAAAGCAGAAAAAAAACCAACCTGGGATTGATAGGCCCATAAAAAAATTTTAAAGGCATAATAATATTGGGTTTTAGTCGTCCAATCAACATAAAAGACTTTAATGTTAGAATATACTAACAGAGGTCTAGCAAAAATTTAGTAAGTATGCTAAATTTGACCCAATTTTGTTCCATTAAAATTTCAGGTGAAGTGGACATTTGCAGTTATTATCTCTACCACCCATTCTCTATCTTCCTCTTTCTTATCAAGACCAAAATTTCCTAGCTAGCAGATTTTGCTGAAAGGAAAATGGGCTCTAACTGTGTTCAAGCAGTGGTACTCAGTTAGGGGCAATCTTGACCCTCCTGGGCCCTTTGACAATGTTTGACATTTTCGGTTGTCACGATGGGGGACTGTGCTACTGGCATCCAGTGAGTAGAGGCGAGGGATGCTGCTGAACATCCGACAATGCACAGGACAGTCCCCTGCAACAAAAAATTATTGGGCGTTCCCTGGCAGGGTGGCTCAGTTGGTGGGAGCGTCATCCTGTACACCAAAGGATTACAGGTTCAATTCTTGGTCAGGGCGCATACCCAGGTTTCAGAGAGGCAACCAACCAGTGTTTCTCTCTTACAACAATGTTTCTGTTTCCCTCTCTCCCCCTCGCCCTTTTTCCTCTCTCAAAAAAACCAATGAAAACATATCCTCAAGCGAGGATTAAAAAAAAAAAAAATTATCGGGTCCTGCCCATAATATAACACTATCGCTCACATAGGAGCTACTGGAAAAAGACTCTCCTCACCAGGTGTGAAGAAAGAAACAAGAGCTCTACTTGCTGCAGGAAGCCAGCCTTAGCATGAAGTGCTGGAGGCAAACACAGAGTTCAGGTGATGACTTCTAGCCATAGGGCTCTTAAGAAGATATACCACTTTTTGGACAATGACTCATTTTTCCCCCTCATTAAATTACCTTTTCACCACACAGCACAGTAAGTAAATCACATAATATTTCAATATTATGGTTGCAGATAAAGAACAGACTCACTAATTTACTCAACACAGCAGTTTTTGGTCAAGAATATCATATGGAACAAAAAGAATTTTAAGAGGATTCCAAGATGGTGTCTGATTGAGTGGAAGCTATACTGACACTCTCAGGACCAAACTGGAATTACAACTAAAATAGAGAAAAACCATCCTGAATAATCAACTGCAACTGTAGACGAGCTGGAGAGCACCCTCAAAACCAAGGACCTAAAAGGCAGAGACCGCATAGAGACTGGCAGGAAATACGGAGGCGCCAGAGGCCTGGTTGGGCTCCCACAGGCAGCAGCCAAAGGTCTGGAGGGATATCTCAGCTTTGGGGGTTCCCATTGAGGACACTGGGGCGTAAACCCCAAGCTGAGCTTCTCAGCCAAGAGTACCGAACTGAGAAAGGTGCCCATTAACATCTGGCTGTGAAAAGACAGCTGGAAATGCAAGTATCCTCTTAAAGGGCCAACACAAAAAGTTCCGTGCACAGCCAATTATCTTGGGCTCTGGCAGAGGGAAGGCAGAGTGAACTAGAGTAGTGTGAAAAGAATCTGGGGTTTTGGGCTCTGGAGACAGAGCTCAGAGGGTAACCATCTGGATTTCTGTGCTAAGCCATTCCCCCATACTGCACAAGACATCTTTATCAGGCAGACCTTTGCCAGTCAGGCAGTTTTGGCCTGGGGGGGAGCAATTGGCCCACCCACTGGAAAACCTCTCACCCTATCTTGTGGAGTTTATGCCTTGCTGTGGTCTATAGCCTGAGGCTCATTAAGAGATTACGATCAATCAGCCTGCAGGCAGAGGAGGACGTCTGGGAGCTTTGAGTCTTTACCAGATCTGTTTCTGACCTGGGCCTTGGAAAAACAGACTTGGGTATGCATCTTGGTCCTGTCCAAATGCACCCATCCCCAGCAGAAAGAACAACAAGCCAGCCCAGCAGAGGGAACCACAAGCCGTGGGTTATTAATAGCTCCAAACAGGGTACTCAAGGCCAGTCACAAAGAGTGTCTGACACTGGTCTGCACCAGAGACCCTCCAAAAAGGCTGAGTCTTAGCAGATTTACCTAATACATAGAAACAACCCAAATAGATAGTCAAAATAGGGAAACAAAAAAGCAAACCCCAAATAAAAGAAGAAGAGAAGTCTCAAGAAAAAGAGCTAAATGAAATGGAGATAGGCAATCTATCGAATATAGAGTTTGGAAAACTGGAAAAAAATATAAAAACTCTGAAGAATGACCCGTCGGATATGAAAAATGAGATAGCAGAAATAAAGAATACATTGGAAGCAATAAACAGCAGATTAGAGGAAGCTGAGGATTGGATCAGCAAATTTTATCTCAATCAGAGATAAAAAAAAAAATTAAAAAACAGGAGGACAGTTTAAGGGACTGTGGGACAACATGAAATGTAACAATATTCGCATTATAGTAATAACAGAAGGGGAAGAGACTAAGCAAGGGATAGAGAATTTGTTTGAAGAAATAATGGCAGAAAACTTCCCTAATCTGACAAGGAAAAAACACACACAAGTTCAGATGGCACAGAGAGTCCCAAGTAAGAAGAACCCAAAGAGGCCCACACCCAGACACATAATAATTAAAATGCCAAAAATTCAAGACAAAGAGAGAATCTTAAAGGCAGCAAGAGAAAAGTAATTTGTTACCTACAAAGGAGCTACCATAAGGCTGTCAATTGATTTCTCATCAGAAACTCTACAGGCCAGAAGGGACTGGCATGCAGTATTCAAGGTAATGCAAAACAAGGATCTGAAACCAAGACTACTCTATCTAGCAAGGTTATCATTCAAAATAGATGGTGAAATAAAGAGCTTCCCAGACCACAAAAGGCTAAAGGAGTTTATCGCCACCAAAACAGCACTGTAAGAAATGTTAAAGCAGCACTGTAAGAAATGTTAAAGGGACCGCTGTAAGAAGAAGAAATACAGTAACATAGGCATAAAGAATTAAAATGACAATAAGTACCTATCAATAATAACCTTAAGGACTAGAGATCAACAGCAATATAGTCATAATTCGGGGACTTTAACACCCCACCGACTTCACTGGATAGATCTTCCAAACAAAAAGTCTACACAGAAACAGTGACTCTAAATGGCACACTAGATCAGGTGGATTTAATTGACATTTACAGAACATTTCGCGCAAAAGCTGCAGATATATATTCGTCTCAAGTGCACATGGGTCATTCTCAAAGATAGATCACATGTTAGCACACAAAACAAGTCTCTACAAGTTCAAGAAGACTGAAATCATATCAAGCATCTCAGATCACAATGGCAAGAAATTAGAAATCAACCACAGTAAAAACACTCAAAACATTCAACCACGTGGAGCCTAAATAGCATGTTATTAAACAATGAATGGGTTACCAATAAGATCAAGAAAGAAATCAAAAACTTTCTGTAAACAAATGAAAATGAACACACAACAACCCCAAATCTATTTGACATAGTGAAAGCAGTCCTGAAAGCGAAGTTCAGAGCACTACAGGCCTACCTCAAAAATCAAGAAAAATTTTTAATAAACTATCTAACCCTACAACCTAGAGAATTAGAAAGCTACTCTGTGGAGCCATCTGGACCAGGGCTTTTGTTTGCTGGGAGTTTTTTTATTGCTGCCTCAATTTCATCAGTTGTTATTGGCCTATTCAGGTTTTCTGATTCTTCCTGATTCAGTTTTATATTATCTCACTCATATGTGGAATCTAATAAACAAAACAGACTGAGGAACAAAATAGATTCAGAGACATAGAAGCATGGAACAGACTGATGAATCTCAGTGGGAAGGTGGGGGTGGGGGAGTGGGTGAGGAGAAATTAATCAAAGAACTTAAATGTATATATGCATAACCCATGGACACAATGTGGTGAAGGCGGGGTGGTGGATGCAGGGTGGAGGGGATCAATGGGTGAAAAATAAGGGGATATCTGTAATACTTTCAACAATAAAGATAAATTTAAAAAAACAAGAAGATAACGTGCAAGATCAGAAATCTGATGGCCATCAACATGTAACTGGTGACTGCAAGAAACCCATCTGTAAAGAAGGCTTAAACTGGATCCCTGGTGAAGAGGAAGAAGAGAAGGAGATTGTGGTGTTATGGAAGTCAAGACATTTCAAGCCCAGCCAGCGTGGCTCAGTGGTTAAGCATCAACCTACGATCCGGGAGATCACAGCTCGATTCCCAGTCAGGGCACATGTCTGGGTTTTGGGCTCGATCCCCAGTGGAGGGTGTGCAGGAGGCAGCCTATTAATGACTCATCATTGATGTTTCTCTCTCTCTCTCTCTCCCCCCCCTCTCTTCCTCTCTCTGAAATAAAGATATGTTTTAAAAATATAAAGACTTTTAAAATTATTCAAACATCCCATCTCATCTGTTAGTAGGCTAAATGGTGGCCCTGCAAATATATCTCATATCCTAATCCCCAGAACCTGTGATTATTACCTTAAGAGTAAAGTCATATTCACTTTGTATGGCAAAAGATGTGATTAAGTTAAGGATCTTGAAAAAGAGGTACTTATCCTGGATTATTAGGGCAGGCCAATAATGCAATCACATGTATCCTTATGAGAGAGGTAGCAGGAGTCTGGAGACAGACACACACGAGGAAGCAATGTGAAAACGGGCCACAAGTG